GGGAAAAGCAGATTCTGCCACAGGATGCCAGTGAACTGCATTGCCATTGGAGTTTTGTTGTTTAGGAACAGAACCAGATTTGATGAAAAGCTTTAGAGGAGAATCAGGTGATGCATTGTGATGGAATCATTCCCTTTGTTCACTTACCAAGTCATTTCTAGTACCTCCTCTTTGTTGCACACTATTCTGGACTCAGAGATAACTGTAAACAAACAAAATCTCTGCCTTTCTAGAGCTCACATGATTGTTGGTAAAGTGAAGAGTGTGTTTTTTTTTTTTTTTTTTGTGTGTGTGTGTGTGTGTCTTTGTCTTTTGATATTGCTAGGAAATCTGAGCCAGAGCATCACACCCGGTAGGCAAGAAGTCTACCACTGAACTATGTCTGCAACTCAAAGATAATATTAAGTGAATTGTACTAAACAAGTTAATATACATATTATACAGCAGTTCCTCAGTAGAGGAAAGGAATGGGGACATTACGACATTTCGGAGCCTTACTGAAAAGGTAGGATGAGAGATAGGAAGCTGAAAAGGGGAGGTTGATTCTGAGCTATACTTTTGAAACGGGAGTATTAAAAGAGTGTGTCTGTGCTTATAGGGAGAGGAGAGGTGAGAGAGACAGGATCCATTGCTGAGTGGGAAGGTTGCCTAGGGCAGAGCGTGGTGCTATACGTAGAAGGCAGATACGCTGCTCCTGGCTCCTACTAGTAAGTTGAGAGCTGGAGGATGCATTGGAGGTTGTGTGTGTGTGGGGGAGATTTGTGAACTTTGCAGATGGAGAAGAGCTGTTTGTTACTGCCAAGGGCCCACTGGAGGGGTTGTCAAGATCTTAAAGTGGGACCGGTCATTTTTTTCCTCTACCTGTTGGAGCTGTTTGGGACAGGAGGTGGAAGGCAAGTGACGAACATCTAGGAAGCTGTTAAATGATTAGTCATCAGCTGTGAGGAAGATAGCGGGAAATGAGGATGCAGCAGGGTGAGAGACAGTGAAAGTAATCAGATTGGCTTGCAGATCAGTTTACAGAATCTGAAACACTGTGACCAACCAAAGGTTTTTCTTGTTTTGTTTTTTAAAAACATAACATTTGAAATCCAAAAATGCTCTAAAACATTAAACTTCTGGATTGACAACAATCCAAAAAGTTTCAGGTTTCAGAGCTGTTATGGCTTGTATGGGGCTTTTGGGAGGTGACTGGTTCATGGGTGTGTGAGACTGAGTCAGTCCTCTGAAGAGGTTATAGCTGGGTGTGATGTTGCAGAGGGGAAGCCTGGTGTGGAGATGGGTCACTGTGGGCATGGCCTGGAAGCATATGTAGCTCCTCCTCCCTTGAGGTTGCTGCTTCCTGCTTGCCTGTTTTTCCTTTGCCGTTCCTCTCTGCCATGCTGCCTTCCATCTTTGGACTGAAACCCCTACAAACTGAACCAAAATATACCTTTCCTCCCTTAAATTGTGAGTGTCAGGTATTGTTTCAGTGATGAAAAAAGTAGTTAAGATAACCATACTCCCTGAGTGCTGGGATTATAGACATGAACCAGTATGACCAGCTGAGTGTGGGACATTTTTTTAAGGATGGTCATGAGCTGAACAAAGCTCCACTGAACAGTTAACTGGCAGAGGTAAACCAGAAATGACTTTTGCCCTTGATCCTAAATGGGGGAGCTGATGTGGAAAGCAAATGGTTGTTCAGTGGACAGGCATCTCCTTTAGTGGCTCAAGTGAAGATCAGTTAAAAATGTAAGTCCGAGAACTTTGGTGGGCTTTCCAAACATCAGTGGAGTTTCCTTGTTCTCTGCCTGTAACTGGCCCTTACCTCACTGTGTGGTGCTCTGTGAGGAAATAGTATGTGACCTGTGTCTTCACACAAGGGACCTCAGTGCCTGTCATCATAGTCATCCTCTTTTTCTCCTTTTTTTTTTTTTGCAGTACCAGGATGGAACTCAGGGCCTTGTTCTTGCCAGGCAGCACTTATGCTACTGAGCTATATCCCTGACCCCCTGTTGCATTCTTGAAACTCAGAATCGAGTTGTTGTACCCCTTGCCTGGGTAAGCCTTCCATTCGGCCTTGTGAACTTCCTGCTTCCTGAAATGATTCTGCCAGCATCAGAGTAAGATCAGTAAGAAAAGTTAGCAGGTTGTAGGGAAAGCTAACAGTGCCTTAAAGCAAATCCTTGTCTCATTTTAAGTTCTCAAGGGGATGAGGTGGGTGACTAGCTGGAAACAGTATATTGGAAGGAATATTCTATGTTAGAGGTTTTTAGGAGGGCCTAATAAAAGTTTTTGGATAGTGGAATGGATTCTTCCACTGGGTACCATGAACATTGAAGGGTTACATGTTAATAAACTGTTCTGGGTATTTCTAATTGAAAAAGAAAATACTTCATCACCAGATGAAACAAATACTGAAATCACTGGTAACATTTTCTTTTCTCAAAGGACAAGTTCCTTATTCAATGTAAAGTAACTTTTCCTATTTTCAACATCATCATATTATTTGACTGGAATTTAAAAGTAGGGGTGTAGAGTTGGTTTTGCCTAAAAATTAAATTTCACCAAACTTGGAACATTGTATTAGGAAAATAACAGAATAAATGTTGATTTCCCTTTCTGCTTTTCAGTCACTTGGAATTTACCAGAAAGCTCTGCCTATACTTTCCCTCAAAAAGAAATCATAAGAAAATGCTGTCCTTAAGGTCATTGTTACTTGAGCTAGCCCAGTGAGGTACCTCTAGGGAGCTTGCCTAGGTTACCTCTGCATTCCAGTTTGTCCTTAGTAATGGTTTTGGACTTGGGGCAGGTGTCTCTCTCTGCTGTGCTGTTTCCTTAGACACTGTAGGTAGCATGCTCAGCTTCCTCCCTACGTCTCCCTTTTAGACCTGTTGAGACCGTAGTACCTCTGCACATGATGCTTGGCATATTTTATTGAATGGTCCTTGTCTCTTGGGATAACAAATAGGATATGTTAGTGACCTTCTATAGGTATCAGTAAAATCCCCACTGGTAGAATTTGGCCTTATTCTCCTTCATAGTCAGGATGATTTAAGATTGCAAACTTAGGTACTTTGCTGCCCAGTGTTTTCTCCTCTCGTGTTCCCTTCTCCCACCTCAGTGTCACAGGTTTTGCAGGTGACAGTGGTGTTCAATACACTTGTGTTCAAGAATACAGAGCTGTACTATGAGTCACCAGAAAGCAGTGGACAGAAAATTCATGTCACCTAGTTCTCTCTACATCTGTCTCTTTCAGTACAACCTGGATTAGAGCCCAATGTGGCATGGCAGCACTGTACTTCTTGAACATTCAATTGGAACAAAGAAGATCAGTAGGGAGCTTATATTGTGCTAGGCTAATTGCTTTGCTACTGATTTAGCCTTTCAAATAAGATGGATTGTTTAATCATGGCTGTTTTGGTGATTATTTTAATTCAAATTTTATTGAACTAGGCAGGAGATTTTTGATGGCAGGATTCTGAAGTGCATTTTTGGACATTCCAGTGTAGTTTTTCTGAATGCACATTGTGTTCATCTGGCTTCCTATTTTCCATCTCTCTGAAGCTTGATGGCCTTTTAAGTTTAGAACAGCTCTGCCTTCGTGGTTGCATCTCAAGTTCTATCAGTAGTTTTGCATTATATTTCTTTGTGTCTAAGGTGGCCCCTTCTTTCAGCTTTTTGTAGAATCAGAACATTTGAAAGGTAGGTATATAGTTTTAAGAAAAAGTAGAAAACAAATTCTAAATTTAATTTTCCTTTCTTTAACAATTTATATATCAGATCTGAAAGTGAGTAAAATACTGATAGTTGTCATCTCATTCATTCAAGATGACTGAATTTGACTGTAAAGAGTTATGCAAGTGATCCAGAACAGTGAAAACTGACAAATCTTCAAATTCCATGAGATTTAAATTCTGTTTATTTATTTATTTATTTATTTATTTATTATTTATTGGTATTTTAGGGAAAGGTCTACAGGGTGCTCAGGGTCTCACTATTAGATCAGGTTCTTAGTGATCCACTTGTTTACAGCCTCTCAAGAGCTGGGATTACAGGCGTGCGCCACCATGCCCAGTCTCAATTGCCATCTCAGCGTACTCTGAGGGCGGGGCTGGCATGGCAGGCCCAGGGATTGAACCCCAGGCCCCTGCGCCTGCTTGTAGGCGCTTTAATCCACTGACCTATTTGGCTGGCCCTAGGTTTTTGTTTTTAATAAATTGTGAAAAGCTCTTCTATATTGGGATTCTGGGTTGTTTATACTGTATTGACTAGCTCCTAATGCTTAGAGGGAGATTGTTTTGAAGCAGGGACTACAGAAGCAAGTGTGTGGATGGCAGAAGAACAAGGAATGGCTCCCAGGGAATAGTGTCTCCTTCAAGAGGGCTAGGTGCTGCCAGATGAATTGATTGAGTAGAGGAGCTAGAAATGGGTGTTTTTCATTTGTGGTATTATGTTTGAAAATTCTTGATTTTTTTTTTTTTTTTTTAATGTTAGCTTTTTTTTTTTTTTTAAGTTTAGGTCAAATAGAATAATGGCCCAGATTAGGCCCACAAATAGCCTATATACAGTGTTTGCTATAAGCCAAAGTATAAATTTGACTTAAAATCATCTTCACTAAGTGGAAGGTGTGGGTACTAATTCAACCCAACTAGTTGAGTTGTACTATTTTAATCATCTTTGACTAGGAGTATCACTTATGTAACTGTACAGTTCATTTGCTGATAACTTTGTCCTGTTATTTTCTGGGTTCTTGGGTACAAAGGAGACTTTTCAAAAGAAAATGGAGTTTTAGGCTAACAGAGCTCAAATCAAGCCTCTAATTTTTATGTATATCTTCCTCAAATTTCTAAATAGCAGTGTTCTCAGTTGAACTAAAAGAATCTATAAATATAGTAACTGTAGGTTGCCAGAATTTTAGAATGCATTAGCAACTTTAGGTTGAGAAAATTGAAAATTAATCTTGGCTCTCTAGTTACTGGATGATAATTCATATAATTTTTTTCTTTCTTTAAAAGATTTGAACATGGAATTCAATCCTTCAGATCATCCTCGGGCCAGCACAATATTCCTCAGTAAATCTCAGACGGACGGTAGGTTATTAATTTATTGTAACTTTTAAACAACAAAAAAAGTTAATGTTGATAGTATAAATCTTGGTGTTCTACTAGATTTGTGTGTGTGTGTGTGTGTGTGTGTGTGTGTGTGTAGAATAGAATATCCATTAATGACCCTAAGTATATTGTTTCTTGGGTGATCCCCTTTGATTTTTTTTCCTTTTATGGTTCTAGAATTTCACAATTGAAGCAGCTATCTATTGCCATTTACCTGGGTTATAGAGATCTACATGCATTGTATAGCAGGAGTTTCTATTCTGAAAGTCAGAAACTTCTCTTTAAGAATTAGTAGTTGTATAAATTTTCAGAAGGTGAGTTGTTTATTAGGTTATAATATATCTGGTACAAGGTCTCACTATGCAGCTCAGACTCTTCGCAGTCCTCCTGTTTTCAGCCTATAATCCATGCACCACCATGCCCAGTCTCAGTGGCTGGCTCAGTGCACCCGAGGGCGGAGCCAGCACAGCATGTGGTACCAGGGATTGAACCCTGGTCCCAGTCTGTGCGCTTCTTAATTTCTTACGTATTTTTTCTTTCTTCTTCCAATTTTGATTCATGTATCTGCTAATATGTAGTTTTTTTTCCAGGACATATTCATACTTTAAAAATGACATTTATTTTGAAAAGTGGGAAGGAAATTTTCAAATAGAAAGGGAACAAGGGAAGAGGGAGGGGAAGAAAAGGAAAGAAATAGAGAACTGAATAGAAGAGAAAGAAATGGAAACAGAGCTTTTGTAAATAAGGAGAGAAGAAGGGTTGAAGGAAGGAGCATGGGAAAAGAATTAAGATAGATCATGTACAAGTACAGATTCCCTATGATGATTGTGATCATTATGTATATCAAGTGTTCCAATAAAATTAATTTAAAAATAAACTAGACACATGGAAAAAAATGAAAAATAAAAAACTAGCATACTTACAAACTTTCCCTAATGAAATGGGAAGTCATTGGAAAGGGTGGGTTTTTGCTAGGGAAGGAAAGTGACAATGAAAATGCAGGCTTGGGACAGTGAAGAACAAGAGTCACAAACAGTTGTTTGTAGACATGTAAAGCACTTGGTGCTTTGAAAGGAAGCTGAAAGGCTGCTTGCCTTCAGATTCGGTTCTTGCTTACTGTGAACTCAGGACAGACCAACATCATCCACAAAATATTCTTCCAGTACTTTTATGAAATCATTTCAGAGCTCTGGATAAGTAACATACCTTGATTGTCCTGGTGAAAGGAAATGATCTAACAGAAGAAGAATAGCACCAGAAATAGTTCAGGAACATATACCCTCCCTCTCCCATTTCCTCTACATCACATTCCCCTTCCTTGACTGGAATATTAGGACTTAATCACACTGAAATTTGTTTATTGCTTCAATCTAAAAATTGTTAAATCTCTCTGTGTAACAAACATATAAACATACTTAAGTCTCACAGGTCACAAACAAAAGGAAAGATAGCTAATAAGTTCTCCTAGTACTCCTACGATTGATTCCTCCCAGTTTTTGTTCAGTGATAGCTCCCACACCACCTCTGCTGTTTCTCACCCACCCAGTCCCCTATTGTACTCTACCCAGAGTGTGGAGAGGTTACCCCAGGGCATTTTCCTTCCTGGAACTGTTGATTACTTCTGTGCTGCAAGTTTGTTGAAGTTTCTTATAACTCCCCACTTTTCGCTTCCTGTCTTCAAACAGGCGAATTTGCTGAATAGGTAAAGTAATAAATAGTTACCTATAATTAAAAGAAATGGATTTTTAAAAATAGGTAACTTTGGTAACTTAAGTGCATTACTTTTTGGTGAAATGATTGTCAGAGAATTGACTATTTGGCAAATTGGTCCTGAGAGATCCTTTCTATAAGCTACTTCTTAAATGTCTTAATAAGCTTCTTTTCCATTCAGTCTTTCACTTGTAGTATTCCCAAGATTCTGTCCCTCACTCACATCTTTCTGATCTGAATACAATTTCTCATGGCATTTGCTTTAATTGATTATATCCCAGACTGAACAAATGACCTGCATTTCCTATCCTGTTTATGTTCCTAAGCCAGAAGGATTTGGCTTTTCCTAGACTCTTTCCGGTTCTCAGTTCTCACTGTTTTTGGTGTTAGAGCTGATTTGTTCTATGTTAGAGACATCCTGTAGGAGCACATACACCACAGAAAATTAGCAGAGACTATAAATCAGGACATTCTTTTTATTTTTCTTTTTTTAAGAAACTATTAAGCTTCTCTTCTGGAGGGTTAACAACTTCAGTTTGCAGACCAAAAATTAGAGAAAAAGAAGGACTGCAAGTACAGCCAACATTTTGGCCCTAGCCTTTCAAGGTCATTGAGGACTCAGGACATAAGAGAACCTGTATTGTAACATCCTTTAACTCAGGGGTGTACCAAATCTTCTGATCAAGGAGGTTATGGGGCAACAGAGGAAAGTGATCGACAGTGTAGAGTGTGCCTAAGGAGAGTCCCATGGAGAGAAAACATTCTCTCAGGCTTTCACAGAGAGCAAATTGGTCAAGCAATGACCATGACTCATCCACATGGCTGACACTCACAAAGGATCTATAAACTGTTGTACAGGGTTTCAGGGTAAATCATGAGGGGATCTGACTGACTTTGTCAGATACAAAAGTTACATTTCTTGTTATATAGGTCTTTATCTTGGTCTTAACCATGCAGCAGAAAAGTATAAAAATGAAGTATAAAAAAAGTAAAGCCATATTAATATGCTGAGCTTTAAAAGGCTCAAGCCAACAACTTCTGACATTGCCAGTCCTGCGTATAACCCACTACTATTATGGACTACTGGACTATAGTGGATTATTTTGTCGAGTTGACACACCTACAATGTTTAAATGGCAATGGAATACCCATCTCTGACAAAACTAAACAAGAAAAAGGGATATAAATGAAGGATCATTTTGTATCTGTATATACAAAATAGGATAGGTGCTTCTCGGCCTTTTGGCTAAGATCAAGTACAAAATAGGATAGGTATACAGCTACTTGCTCTCAATTTAGTGAGAAAAAAGATTTGTACTGATAGTGTTTGGACAGTATATCATCTGCATCTTGTACTATGAATAACTACTACGAAGACAACAATATGTAGTGTATTAATTATTGTAACTGACCTACTAACCTGTTTTGAAACTATATCATTGCTATTTGTTTCTTAATAAAAGTAATAAAAAAATTTTTTAAAAGAGAAAAAAAAGAAACTGTTAAACATTTACTAGCACATCATTATATTTATGTTGTTCAAGGAGTCTTGAGTCTCACTCCTCTGTGGCCCATGACTCTTTCTTCTCCATCCTCTTGCCTGCCATCTTGTTTTAGACTCAGTGTCTCTTTTGCCTTACTGTAGCAAACCCTAGATGGGTCGTCCTATCCTTGAGCTTATCTTGCTCTAAACCTGTGTCTGTGTTGCTACTGGATGCAAAGAAGCTCTTTATAAAACATGTGATTATGCCTCTTGCTTGCTTAAAGTGTTTTGGGGAAAGTAGGAGTGAGGCAGAATTTTACTGTGTGCTCCACACTGATGTGAACTTGCTATATAGCTCAGGCTAGCCTCAAACTCAGTTCTGCCTGTCCGAGGGGTTACAGTTTACCACCACTGTTAGTGATTCCCCAGTTGCCTTGGGACTAAGTTGTGGATACCTTTACCTTGAATTCAATGCCCTTCATGACCCAGACTCTTATCTTCTTTCTTACTGTACTTGTTTTGGTACCTTGTGCTTCAGCTTGCAGTTTCTTTTATTCACCACTTACTTTGTGCTCTTTGCAGGTCCCTAGATTTCCCATTTTGTCTTTCATACACCACTCCTTTTTATCTTCCAAGTTTTTTATCTTCCATGAAGATCTTAAGTCCTCAGGGTGCATTAAATGGGCCTTTGATGGACCATCTTATCTTATGAGTGCTTCTGCCGAGTATGAACTGTATTGTGGCATATAAGCCATCTGCTGCCCTAAGAGAAGGAACAGATGGATATTGGAGCTTGGACCCAGAATGTCTCATGGATGTGCAACCCAACTGGCTGAAAGAAAGAAAAATGACAGTTAGGTAACAGTTTTGACTTGATTGTGAGAATTCTTCCCTTGAGTAAACTTACTTTTCCCACACTTCTAAGAGTACTAGAGCAGATACCAATTCTGTTTTTCATCTACCCCATTTACTAATTAGAAAAAAATCTTGTAATTTGAGACAATAAGGTTCACAGCACCTGATTTTTTTTGTATCTGGTGACTTCTCTTTCAGGTTGATGTGCTCCCCTCTGTGCTCTCTGCTGCAGTCCCATCCTCTTTCAAACCCCCACCATCACCCCTTGCATATCTAACAGGCAAACTCAGTGAGAGTTATTAGAGTTTCTTGCTTGTTACATTCCTTTTCTCTGTGGATATCATAGATTTAGATATGTTTTTATTCAAAAGGAGATTGGAAGCCTCAAAAAAACTTAGTGCTAATAGAGTGTACTCGTTAAACTTCTCTGGCTGGCTGAATTTCATTGTTTTATTTAAATACAGTATGACTGCTACCTGTCATTTCTTTACACAGATAATACATCATTGCAGATTTCCTTTGTAAAAGAGGCATTCAACAAAAAAGGGACCAGGGGTTCTTCATGGGATGGAGGAAATTGCTGGGTGAGAGAGAAAGTGGTTTATTTGGTCTCTGTCTCTCTCTCTGTCTCTCTCTCTCTGTCTCTCTCTCTCTGTCTCTCTCTGTCTGTCTCTCTCTCTCTCTCTCTCTCTCTCTCTCTCTCTCTCTTTTTTTTTTTGCTGTGCAGTTGTTCTTGCTTGTAAGGGAGAACTGCATGTAGCTCCTGATACCTGTTCCTTTTGTTTATCCATTTTAATTTGTTTTAAGTTAGGATAGCTCCAGTTCTACATGGATGTGCTTATTTTTATTGGTTGCCAATAATACACATGTTGGTTTATACACTAAATTAAGTGTTTACTTCCTCATTTTGCAAAGTTAGAAATACAGTGGA